TAGGCACTGGAAGTTGCATGAACCATTCCAAGGGATGTAGACATTGTGTAGAAGACGATAATAGGAGGTGTCTGCATCAGCTGCTCCTGCTGCATCATCAAACGATTGATAAGTCTGGTCCCACATAAAAAAAGATATTGGTTCTGACATCTTCAAGATGTTGATTCAAAAAAATTTTTAATTGTAGTCGTCAATTTGGGGAAAATGAATGATAATAATTATCGAGTGGTATTATTGAAATTCAAGAGAGTACTGGTGAGGTTTTATATTGGAGACTCTGAGCAGTGATCTCACTGGAGGAGGGGATTGTTCTTTCGGAGAACTCGTGGTAGCATGAAGACTTTGTATACACTACCAACGTTTATATTGACACAGAGGGCACTCTACTATTGGTGGAGGAATTGAACTGCTTGAAGACGCTGCCAAAGCGGGCCAATGAGTGCGACAATAACGTAGACGTGCAATGCTTGGATCCTTCTTCATGCTCTCTGATAACTTCTCCCAAGCTGCATCCACAGTGGCTTTGGCAACAGTTTTTATAAAACATTTTGGAAGAAAAGAAATTTCCTCACTCGTCAAAGAATTTAAATGTCCAGTCTGACAATACTTTGTCAAGGATTTCTCCAAGCACCCAACATCGTACTTGGTAAACCACTTCTTCAAACGTTGCACATTGACCACTGCACAATGAAAATTAATAGGACCTCCATCAAAAAGACTATGATGATAGACACACTTTATTTCCACCTCCACATTCTCCAATACCGGACAACCAAAATCATCCAAATCAGTGATAGGTATTGCATTCTTGAGAATCTTCTCTAGCCAATTTTTCTTCTCCAGACCTTGAACGTAGATGTGTTTAACATCCTTCACCATAGCATTGATAAACTCACTCACTCTATCATACTCGATTTCTCCAGGAGTATCCCAATGTAGCCCAACATAATGACGAGACAACCACTGATTCATTTCCCGATATTTAAGCAATAAATCCTCTCATTTGTAGGGTGGATCCACCAAAACTGTCTCATGAAGAAATTTTCCATCATCATCAAGCTCCAATGCTGATACTGCAAATTCTTTCAAGACAAACTGGTTGCCAAAATCTTTGAAACCCTCGATATCAATAACCACCGCCATGTTGCTATGATTCAATTGTAAAAGTAACTGAGAACTTTGCTCAGTCTTCTTGTTTCATCATCACCGCCCCTCCCTGGTTTTTAGTATGAGAGGTAGTGGACTTGGTGCCTGCATACTGTCTTGGAAATGTTACTTCAATAATTTTGTTATTGTCTGGACAAATTACATGATCTGCTCTCGAGATTCCAGGGAGAGATGTCAAACATAGCTGGACAATTTCGTTGGTGTTAGCACAGTAACGGTTTTCATTGAATGCCCTCGCATCAACAAGAGTCTGTGAAATTTCGCGAATTATTTTTCCGTTGGAGTCTTCGGAAGAAAAAATTTGTCTGGAAGTTCGGTAAGATCAAATGGTCACGTATTCATAATATTAATCCAATAACCGTTACGATACGATGATAACGTTTCTTCAAAGTCTGGTTTATATTTCGTGGCATGATGCAATAACCGTTGAACAAAATGGCGTTTGAGAGGAGGGGTAATACCAACGTCTCCCTCGGTAGGCTAGTATGTTCTTCGGTTTTTATCCGAAGTCTCCCTACCCCCTCGATTAAAAAAGTATGAATAATCAGATGGTGGCAGTCAACCCGAAGATGACGCTTTCGTTATGAAGACCCCGTCAGTCAGTTTTATAAACCCCATGCTCGCACAGTGCAGGACATTTTAGATTCAGTGAGTCAAGTGTGAAGAGTTCTACTGCTATGTCTAGTGTTGGTGGATCTCCAACTGAGCAAGTTTCGACTTTGGAGATAATTACAATTCGTAATTTTGTGGATAACGTGAGGAGTTCTGAAAAAATGAAAAGAGATGTGCCATTGAGAGTGATGGGATCAGTGCACTCTTCCAATTCAGAAAATGAGTACGATAGTTTAACTGATGAGGAGTTTGTGCCTGGTGTGGTGGATTTTTCTGCAACTTCATCTGAGGCCGGAGATCCTGAGGGCACCTCCGAAGTAGAGACATCAGATGGGGAGGCATCGGACCAGAAGGAGACATCAGATGGGGACTTACCTGTGAATGTTTCATCTGGAAGTTCTACTCCATTGCTTTTGGACACATCACAATCAACAATTGTTCCAGACTCAACAACTGATGTGTCAATCGAAAAACCTGTGGTTATTGACATGCCATCTGACAATATTAACTCTGTCGAGGAGAAAGTTGACAATATTCCCGACTCACCAGAGCCAGCAGAGGAGGATATTATCAGCATTCCCGACTCATCAGAGAGTCCTGAGCCAGCAGAGGAGGATGTTATCAGCATTCCCGACTCACCAGAGAGTTCCGAGCCAGCAGAGAAGAGTATTTTGAATATTCCCGACTCACTGGAGAGTCCCGAATCAGCAGAGAAGGGGATTTTGAATATTCCCGACTCACCGGAGAGTGCCGAACCAGCAGAGAAGGGTATTTTAAATATTCCCGACTCACCGAAGAGTCCGGAGGAGGATATTCTGATCATTGATGAGTCATCAGAGAGTCCAAAGCCAGCTGAAGACAATTTTACGGTGCCCGAGACATCGGTGAGCATCTCAGAAAAACATCAACCTATGGATGTAGATTCATTGGAGGTGTTGATATCAGATACCAGAAGTGATGAGTCAGCATCATACTNTATATTCAACTTTACACGAGCGCCCTGAACAGGGGAAATCCATCGATGGGGAAGAAGAACCAAGTTTTATCAATCATCGCTTGCATCCAGCGTTATGAAGAAAGGTTCAGAGATAGACTGCATCAAGGAGGTCGCATGCAGGTGTTATCTGGTAGCGGAGAAGAATCACTCACTCGTCGAGTTCGCTGGAAGGATGGTCCACTGGCCTTTCGAGGCCGAATATGTTCTGGCATTATAATCAATCTTCAAAATAAGGATCCTAAGAGGTTTCTTAACGANTCATCCATATCTTTTATTTCATTTGTTTCAGTTGTAAACCAGTATTGGATTTCGAGAGGAATAATTCCCCGTTTTGTCTGCTTACGCTTATCTGACAGGATGATCAGAAACTATGGATTATTATTGCTTATGCTTCAATGAAGATTTTCCTTCCNAATCGATATGCTCCTCTCAGTGCTGGCTTATCGACATTTGCTACGCTGCCGTATCATATACAACTGAAAAAAGCTGTTGTGAATATAAAAAATGCCGATCAATTTTGCTTCTTGTGGTCAGTTATCGCTGCTCTCTGTCCAGCAAAGAATAACAGATGCCTTACTTCATCATATCCTCATTATACGATCGCAACTATACCTCAAAGTCAAAAGANAACAAGTGTATGTTTATTACAGTGGAAAAAAAACATGGAGAATTATCCATTCCCAGACCCTGAGCAGAGGGAGGAGTGGGAGGAAGAGGACGCAGCCATGGAGGATTGGTGGCTGGAGCAGAAGGAGAAGTGTTGGGATTATATCCCACACTATTACCCTTTGGTGGGACATTTGGCGGTGCCAATGCACCAGGTTGTCAGTTTCCTGGCATACGCNCACATACCTACAATTCATTTACTACTTTTTTGTTCGAATGTACATGTTCCAGCTAATGCACAGCCAGTTTATCACTATGCGCGGATTAGCAATCTTTCAAAACTTGTGAGTGCACAAATTTCGAGTAGTGGGCATTTTATATACCTATGTGATCGGTGTCTGTGTCATTTTCGTGAGAAAAAACGTTATGATGAACACAAACAGGACTGTTTTTTAATAAATAAGTGTAAAATGGTCTTACCGGTGGAGGAAAACAAAATTCTAAATTTCAAAAATGATAAGTTCAAAGAGCCTGTACCATTTGCCATTTATGCTGACCTGGAATGCATTTTAAAAACTAATAANCGAAAATATTTACCACAAACGAAAGTTAGCTTGAGATTCATTGATTCGTTCAGATTCATGGCTAGTAGTCTTGAAAAATTGGCATCATACTTGACTGATACGGACAAGACAATCACCCGAGCGCATTGCAATACCGAGGTTGAATTTCATCTTTTATTGCGGAAGGGTGTATTTCCATATGAATACGTAGATAGTTGGGAGAAATTGGATGATGAAAAATTACCACCTAAAGAATCTTTTTATTCATCATTGAATAATCGGGAGATATCACAAGAGGACTATGAACATGCGTGTCAAGTTTGGGAGAAGTTTGACATCTCAACACTTGGGGAATATTCAGATTTGTATTTGAAAACTGATGTTCTACTCCTAGCAGACATTTTTGAAAATTTTAGAAAAAGCTGCTCTTCGGTGTATAAGCTAGATCCATTGCATTATTACACAGCGCCTGGACTAGCATTCGATTTNTTGACATCTCAACACTTGGGGAATATTCAGATTTGTATTTGAAAACTGATGTTCTACTCCTAGCAGACATTTTTGAAAATTTTAGAAAAAGCTGCTCTTCGGTGTATAAGCTAGATCCATTGCATTATTACACAGCGCCTGGACTAGCATTCGATGCAATGTTGAAATACACAAAAGTGGAAATTGAGCTTTTAACAGATGTTGATAAGCTTTTATTCATTGAAAAAGGGATTCGTGGAGGTGTCGCTCAATGCACCAATCGTTATGCTCACGCCAACAATCGATATATGGATGAAAATTACGATAAAGATAAAGATGAGTCGTATCTCATGTACTTTGATGTTAACAACCTGTACGGTGCGGCTATGAGTCAACATCTACCCTATGGCGGATTCGAATGGGAAAATCCAGAAGGATTTAATGTTTTCAATGTTCCTGATTACTCTCAAGATGGATATATTCTGGAAGTAGACTTGGAGTATCCCAGAGA